CCGACTATGTGCAGGTCTTCCTGGACTGACGGTGGGTTTTGGTTTGACTACCACTAACTTCTTTCCGACCTAACCCAATGTCAGCTAACATTACTTTTCAATGAAGGCGGTGGTTCGGCACGCGGAATACATGTCGTAGCCATTTCAATCAACGAAGCGTCATAATATGATCGACTGAATTATCTTCCTTACAAAACACTATGTCTAACCTATATTAATCACCTTATTATACCACTTAACATGAGAGATGGAGTGCAAACATCTCTGGTTAAAGACAGATAACGTTTTCATATCTTCCACTTGTAATAGCTATGTCTCATATCCATAAAGAACAAAGAGAACTGCTGCACAGTATATACACCTTTTGATCGATAGACAGCCGAATATCACGTCTATACGAGAGATGGCGTAAGATAACAAATGCCATATAACAGCTTCATATCCACGCTAAGATTCCGTCAACAATCAGTCGCCCGTTGGGGCTGACACAACCTCCCATATAAGAGAAGTGTCCAACACACTCTACCACTTCACTTCTTATCTTTACACTATGATTCAATGTAGACCATTCCTGTAGGATCATTTTACATTTGACAGAACCAAATTACATGCCGAAAATCCATAGATTTCCAATCACGATGTTTCGAAGACTGTATTTTATCAGCGTCCTGATGGAGGACGAAAATGTCACCTCCATACTTTAAATCGACAAGACTGTCGCCCGGTAAGAAAAAATCAATCTTCAAGTCTCTAAAATCAGTTAGGGTCAGTTTCATTAGCACATTTATGATGAAACTGAACGAAAATGAGAACAGTGGTTAGCGCTGACAGACACCACGAAAAAAGCTAGGAAGATTGGTATACATATGTATTATATATATATATATTACTACTTCGTAATAACAGAGATATTTAGCTCAAGATGAGAATGGAATTTATGTGGTGTTGTCTTAAGTTGTTCTAATTGCATAACATACTCATTTACTAAGAGACAATAAATTAAAGGTGCTAACATAAGAAATGAAAGGTTGGAAAACACAAAGAGTGATCAAAGCAAGGGATAAAAAGATATCGAAATCATCAACTGATAGTGTGAGTCTTGTTAGAAATTGTAGATTGACCACCTGATATCAACACGACGTACAGTATTTCACATACCCCAATTGAAATTGTTTAAAATAATTGACCTGAGAAACAACCTATAAATAAGTATGCATATTGCATGTTTCTGCAGATTTACTATGAATAACAGACTGACTGAAAAAGCAGTGTGTGATGTTAAAAGATCACAGGACAGAATGGTATTCAGAATCTGGAATACAACAATAGCACAATGCAAAATGAAAGACCGCAAGGCATATTAAAAAGTGCTTTTAACCACTGATTTCTAACATTTCCAAGATCCCAGCCAAGTCATACAATCCAACAGTTAGTTACTGACTTCACAAATTGACACCAAACTTTGACTGACCACTCCTCGCTCTCATCGAACTTACACTGTCCGAAACATGCAGTAGCTAAAAGTGAATGATGTATATATATATATATATATATACATATGCCATTGCACGAACTATGAAGTTTTGGTGCTCGTTAGGTATTAAGTTTTTAATAAAATAAAAACGCTAGAGTACTAATTCCTCGTAGTCCCTAGATTGCTATGTATATTGAGAGCAGCCACTCAAGAAGAGAATTATACTCACAATTTCATTTCATCTGCTACTTGCATACACCTTGAAAACAATTTTATTTTCATTCTCAAGTCTCTAATTTATCTCAGAAGTACGATGAATTAAATCACCTTGCTTGATTTGAACTGCAAGACGTTCAAAGACTACGCGAATGAACGCTGAAATACACTGTCACAATATGGATCAGAAGCTTAGCGCATCACGAAAAGCACTTTGAAAAGGTTTCAAACTTTCATCAGCAGCTGTCTTTGCTTCATACTGAAAATCAGATGGCCAGTCAGAAAGCATAAGCAACAAAGGAACTCTGGCAACGAAGCAAACAAGAAAGTATTACCCAACAAATATGCAGCAGAAAATGGAAATGGATCGGACACATGCTGAGAAGACCGCTGAATGAAATCCCACGCCAAGCCCTGTAGTGGAACCTGAACGGTAAGCGGCGAATTGACCGTCTGAGGGTGACTTGAAAGAAATAGGGTAAGGGGGTGGGGCCAGCTAAAGGGGACTGCAGAGAACAGGGTGAAATGGTGATATGTTGCTGAAGCCCGATGTTCCACTCGGAACGTACAGGGGTAGTAGCAAATAAATGTCTGAGAGAAAAGAAAACTTTCAGTATATTTTTCTCACATCATGCTGAATAATTAGTAGTTTCACCTTTGTTTTTATATCCAGCTGAATAATAATTATAGCTATGCTAACTCGTAGGACACAAATGTAGGAAAACTGAGGTTGTACAACTATTGAGAATGAAATCGTTGAGGAAAAGATATCTCCTACTGGGCCTATGACTTCCTCTCGAAGGTAATTTTTCACAACAACTAGCTGGCTTACCTGCATAATTAAAGAACGCATATATGGATGATGAATGTATACAATACCAGTTTTGATGAGTTTCTGCCATAGTTTCTGACACTTTCTTTGATCACAGTCATCAGGTTTTGAATCAACTCTAGCCTTGATAGCATCCATAAGGCGATCGTTTATACTCTACAATGTATAAGTTTGACTGGTAAACGAGAATGTGTATAGAACATACCCATAGAATATTGTGTCTCGGCACTCCATGTATATCGAGAAGTTTTAATGCTTGACTAAAATTTGGAACAAGTTGTTCCCAGTATTTATCTTGAAATGCTTCAATATCATCTTTTGTGATTTTCGACTTTGTAAACAAATCCTCAATTGTTTTTTTCATAACTGGAAACACAAAAGGCTTAGGGGTCTAGCAGAAACAGTAGAATATTCATTAGCGTAACACCAGAACTTACATTGTCTTTTGATTCCATTTTGTAGAAATAATGATTCTAAATAAATACAATAAGAAGGTGAATATTTTACAAGTTAATCACTTTAGTTAAAAGCCATGGCTCTTGTGAAATTGAAGACACTTAAACCAGCTTACAAATGTGTTAGCGAGTGCCGTACACTTTATGCATGGTTATAACAGAGCTTAGGGAGTTTAAATGTTTACACTACGTAAAATCCAAGACAATAATTCGAATCCACACATGTTTATGCATTTAGCATAGGGGGCTTTATAGTACATCCAAAGGACCTTGATCAGCCGGGAAGAGAAGAACCTAGCATCATTTCGCAATGGAATATATTGAGGCCATGTACGTTCAGGCTTTAAAGAGGTCAACAAACTAAGCCTAATAGCCTATTTTATTCCCCGCAGGGCTAGGTTGAACTTTAAGCACCCGTTAGTACCGATGGAGTGCGACCACACCGATGGCTTTGAAATGTTCACTGAGACAGTTAATTAAATCTGGTAAGTGGAATATCTGGGATGTCTCAGCTTCGGTTGGAGGAAAATAAAGTTGAGTTTTAGGTTAAGGGTTCGTTTAACCTAATAGAGGAGACGTTAGGGTTGCTTTCAGTTAGATTATGGTTAGTTTACGGATATTTCGCAGTTAGGGTTAGGTTAAGAGAAGACTACGGTTATTGTTGGGTTTAGAAGACCTACATCACTCCATGCACAGAATGCGGTTAAGTTACTTCATTATAACTTCAATCTAAAACTAAGTATTTTGTCGCGCACGACAGTGTCATGCATTTTAATTCATAATTTTCATGAATATATGTATTTTATATGCAAAAATCTCCTTTATCATGTCGTTGGTGCGTTCAAGATTATTTGTTTGTTGGTACTCACTTTGCCAAAAGACTATATTCATCATAAAATCAATCATACTTCTGAATCAGTAGATCACGTATAAATGGAACTCATACAAATTCTATTGAAGGACTCTGGGTCCCTCTAAAACAACGTATTATAATAGTAAATGGATTATATTTTTTGCATCAACATTGGTTTGGTAAGTCTACAGACACTCCTATGAGAAAATAGGATCAGTTTCTACACCAGATTTGAGATATAAGCCCTGTACAATTCGGTTTTATTACATGTCTTATAAATACACTTTTTTGAAGTAAATGCCACTTTTCACCTAGAAGTGTCTATTTTTTACTGTTGTCGTATTACTGGTATTAAAACATCTGAGTGAAACTTGCAACGAAGATAATGAACAACACCCATGTGTTATGCCCAGCCATTTTATTGGTTCACTCAAATCCATTTGACTTAAGTGTCTATCCCCTATTGTTGTCTTATTCTAATTTGCTTGCATATACCCTAAAATTTAGTGGTGCTTGTTTCTTCCTATACGTGAACGAAACTATGGTTTCTCATAGAAATTTGACGACATACACAGCAATGCTACAACTATAAACTTTTGTCAAATCAGTCAGCTGTTTAAACCGGTGGCACTATTAGCAGAACTCCTTAAGACACTATACGAAAACAATCACCACTCACTCACAGTTCTAGCCGTAACGCACACCGCAACTCTCGCGCGGCTTATTATTATTCAATATCCAGCTAGTAATAAAAAAATTGCCTTCTTAGCTCTCGGTTCTTGATTCTTAGGTACAAGTTCCTGGTAAACTTTCACGTAGTTCGTTCTCGCACTTGACAGTCACAGCTGTGGTTGACTTCAACAGTAGTGGTGCTTTAATTGGTGGTATGTGGGTTGTTGTACGTGGTGCATTTAATTGATACTTTCACCTACTGGGTCTTCGGTGTGGTGCGAAACTGAGAGAATCTTGTTAGTATCATTAATTAGTGTAAGTTATTAGACTTAAAAGAACATACAAACAAACAGACAAATTTTCACTTATATACACGTATTCCATATTAGTTTGTTTATTAGGTATATCACACAGTGAAACAGTATTATTTACTGGATCCAGTAAATAATACTGTTTCACTGTGTGATATACCTAATGAACAAACTAATATGGAATTACTTACTACCACAGTGCCCAAGTTTTACACATATATTTATATACACGTATATATATATATATTTTTTATAATACTGGAACGAATAGCCGCAGTAGTCAGGAGAGTGAGACAGAAGAGTTTCCAACAGTAATAGGATGAGATCAGGTGTATAGTCACTAGTAGTGTGTGAGTTTTAAATGGGACAAAGTTTGGACGTAGTCCTTGTGTCGCTGCATGATTACCTAGTATCCGATTAAAGTGCACTTGAGTTCTTGCTCACTGGTGAGCTGCTCATCGTTGTTTGCCAAGTGAAAACCCAAATGTACTGAATGGTATAATACCTTTTTGGATGATTCTGGTCATTTCTTACCTTTCGGGCAACAATTAAGTCTCCTCTAAGTCTCCGGAGTGCGTGAAAAGATCAAGGTTTTAATTCCTCCTCATATCGTTTATTTCCGGGACCCATTTTCGGACTCCTTTCTGATTATTAGCGTCTCTTCTGAGTTACGAAAGACCGGTGATATCGTGCACCTCAAGGTGTGGTTTTACGTCTGTTTTGTGGAACATTGGAAATAGCTCAGGAGTGAGCTCTTCTAGCTGCGTAAGAGTTAGGTATATAACTGTGTAAGCTCCCACTAGGCCACCCATGTAATTCTCTCTTGTATCCATGTTTCCTTTAGAATTAGACCTAAGTCAGGCTCTGACTTTACATAGGAATTAAATTATATTCTGCAGCCCACAAATGTTGACACGATGATAAGCCCGTTAACTGGGTATTAATACACTGGTTTCCAAAAGAACCAAACAAACCCATCTTTATCTTTTAAGAGACTAGACCAGAACCTACTGATATCCTGTAGAGCAACCCCCCACCTCGGTGGTATTTAAATAACGTTTCAAAGGAGTGTGATCTCGAATGTAAGTCAGTTTATTCTGCCGAAGTTTTGATAAGTGAAATGTAACGGAACAAAATTCGAGTTTTCCCCCTCTGCCTTGACACACCAAGCAATCATGTAAATTTGTTGTCTAAAGGCTAGTGACAACACATAAGTTTTCGAATGCTCATGGTAATTCACTTCATGACAATGTTTGTAAATTTTTGCTCCACATTCATAATAACGAATCAAACTCTTTGATTTCTCGAGCATCTGATATACTTGTTCTTCTTAATCACTTTCATAGTATTTAAGGACAGTGCGTGACTAGCCTGTATTCGACCAATAATATAAGACCTTAGATAATTTAGGCAACACAAGGAAACGTTATAAATCACCCTTTAATTCTGGATGACACACCGGGAAATCTCATATTATAAACACCAACTTATAGAGTGTGTGATCTGGGAAGGTTGCATAAACCACGTTTTATTTCTCTTAACCACATAAGAGGCCACAGCACACCAACTAACTGTTTTAATATAGACTCGAGACTACTTACCGGCATGTTTCACAATAAAACCGCTTCCGATATATACCAAAGAGAAGGATTGTATCCATCCTCCTACAACTGATGTGTTGCTACTTAGGTAGGAATAAACACATAATTATTACAATATTGCCTAAAGCCGTTGCGCGAATGAATAAAGTACCAATGTGTGAGAATATCTGTTTGTCTGCTAAGTATCGTACTACATACCTTCTCTACAGTCATGAGTGCAGCTTCCCCACAAAATATGTATGGAGGAAACAATTCGGGGATCAACTTCCATAAGAAATAACTCCTACACAAGTCAAGAACAGAAGTGAAGACAAAATCATCAGGCGCCGAACAGTCCGAAGCAACATTTTCAAAAATGCTGCTGCATGGAACCATCCAAGCAGTTGGAGGACATAGAAAATCGCTTCATTCGATGAGGAATTTCCATGCGACCCATTTACAAGTCAACGAAGATAACAGAGAATGGAGAATTGCTTTTGATAGATACTTTCTCAGACTCTACAATAATAAATCCATGAATATTAAAGTAAAAATAGCCATTGAAGTCATATGGAGATTATATCGGAGGCTATATTGGAGCACATGTATAAAATGAAGTGAGAGCTCGGTATTTGGCATTGTCAAATGAAAGTATTTGAAAAGTGGGTAGTTATTCGAAATACAGGATAAAGTGTGAGTAGACATAAAGGTTATATATAAGTTTCGTTGTGGAGCGAAGGTGAGCTGTTTTCAGTGGTGGGGCAGAAAAATGAACACCACAAAATGCATACAAACAAGTACCAAAATAGGAGGAACAATGGAAAAAAGTTGAAGCTAGGGCTCACAAATATCAAATGTAGTCATAAGACCAGGAGGTTATACTGTGATAAACCCAGAGATTCGTAAGCTACTCAGAATTAAGCACGGATGTTGGAACCTGTTTGCCAGAATTGAGTCACTTGAGAACACGAAATTATATAACACTGCTAGGAATAAAACTATTGTCGAAATCCGCCGATCAAGGATGAAGTTCGAAGCGCATCTGACTCAAAATGCAAAGGCACAATGTGAGAAAAATTTCTCCTGCATGACCTTCAGGAATAAAACACTAAATAGTGCCTCAAACCGGGCGATTATGTCGCATATTCCCTATTTGGAGCGGCGCCTCCAGCTTTGCCTTGACGGCATTTGCGCTGTTTAGCTGACTCGAGTTTGGGGCTACTCGTCCAGGCAAACGCAGCTGACGTGATTTTGATGCTTATTTTGCCTTTGTTGGATGAACTTATACGAAAATGGTTGTTCGATGGTCTTCTTGAGCAATAACGTATTGCTCGTGTGGTAGGACGCTTAAATATATGGTTATTCAATGATTATTTGGCATACCGAGTAAGCTTCGCGTACATTTCGACGGCTGTCTTTCGATAAATTTCTTTGTAGCTTGGCGGAAACCTGCACTTGATCGTAAATTTCCCTATCAGCTGTTTTGGTCGCTTAGTCATTGGAATGCATAGATACAAGCGGAGATTAGTGATCACAACTGGCCAGAAGCTGCAATATGTTTTACGATCACTTACAACATTCACT